CTAGAGGTGATTATGGGGAACTCTGATTTATCAAAGGCAATTATAAAAACTGGCAATTAGATTTGATAAGAATTTTCTTGGAAAAGTGTGATTTTCCTGGAAAGCTATACCATTTCCCTAAATTAGCATATGTGGTGGGTGATTTAATGTATTTATAATTTGTCTGTTAGGCTTAATATTTAAGGGAATGACCTCAGTTTCTTGAATCTAATCAATTTATCACTTGACCCAATAAAATCCTGATCTTTTTCTTTCAGATACTATTAAAGTCATACCATATTTATTGAAAAAATAACTTTTACATTATGTTCTGAGGTCATATATATCCATAACAGCTAATTTTAGAGTTTCTGGGCATCTCAGAACCTACATCATTAAAATAATTGTATTAAAAACTCCAAGATTTTAAAATAATCATTCTATGCAAAAATCTCATGGGTATTTTGTCACAGTAAAGATTTTACTAATACACTTAGATGTTAAACTTGTCCTCTTTGTTTTTGTCCGAACACACACACCTGCCATTGTTCAAAGATATTACTAGTCCTTTGTGTAACAGACTCAACATGTGCTGGGCAAAGAGAAGGATCTCAAAGAATTTCAGACATTACCTCAGATACTTCTACTAACAGTATATATTATAGGTGTTCATCCTACTCTAATGAAGAATTTTGCTTAACTGTCTTAGATTCTCGATATTTTCCACTTTTTTCTTGTGTATATTATACAAAACAATGATTATCTGATCAACATTTAGAAAATGGGATATTGCTTCTCGACCTTTTGGCTAAGATCAAGTGTAGAAAATGGGATATCTTTAAGAATAAATATTCAAAATTTATATTACAGGGTAAGCAATTAATGTTCATATATGTGGTTAATATTTAGTTTACATTGACATGCACCAAGGCAGGTTTAAAAAAAATTTTATTATCTTCTTCAGAAAATACTACTGTTTTCATAGTTTATGAGTCAACCTGTACAGTGTATCTTCAAAACCCAAACATTTCAGGATTTAAAAACTGTATTATACTAAGGAAAAATTTTTACCATTTCCAAAGGATTATAATAGCAATAAAAAGAGCAGTTTTGAATAATATACAGTGATCTAAACATTCAACAATCTGGGGGTCAGCATTTTCATATACAAGACCTTTCCCTTACATAATAGCAATTATCTTGTAAGAACAAATTTTATTAACTATTAGTATAATAAGGAACCGCAGATTGTAACACATACAATATCTGGTAGGAAAACTCTAGCCGTCTTTCAGTATTGTAGAAGTACAAAATCAAAAGTCCCATACAGGATCATTATCATTGAGCTAATAAAAATTACTGCAACAAAATTTTAGTGAAAGAGAGTTCAACATTGGTCCATATTGGAGAGATATTGTAAAGCATTTATGATGTTTTCAATTTGTTTTATTGAAAGCAGTAGGCATTGACAGCATGCCCAGTTGAGGTGAGAGCAAAACAGTCTTTTTTTACCTTGTGGATTTAATCCTTAAGGATTCTTCTAGTGAATTTTACCTTTCCTTTAAAATGTCCCTTGGTTTAGCTATTTTTCTTTGAGATCCTTTATATTGTTCCAATGTGTACCATACAGTGAAGTTCTAATAACACAGTCATCTGTAACTATCTAAATATAAGGGCCTCATGCAATGGTCTAATTCATGTCCTGGCTGCTCCACTTTCCATTCAGCTCCCTGCTTGTGGCCTGGGAGAGTACTAGAGGATGAACTAAGTCACTGAGGCCTGCACCCACATGGGAGACCTGGAAGGAGCTGCTGGCTCCTGGCTTCGGATTGGCTCAGATCTGTCCATTGTGGCCAATTGGAAAATGAACCATAAGACGAAAGATCTTTCTCTCTGTCTCTCCTTTTCTCTGTAAATCTGCCTTTCCAATAAAAGTAAATAAATGTTTAAAATAAATAAATTAATTAAATATAGTGGTATTCATCTTCTTTTAAGAGATGTATTTATTTGAAAGGCAGAGTGACAGAAGGAGACAAACAGATCTTCCATCTACTGCTTCACTTCCCATATAGCTAAAATGGCCAGTGGTAGGCTACATCAACATTAGGATTCTGGCTTGCTTTCATTGTCCTCATTTTACTCACAATGCACAGAAAAAAGAAAATCAAAGGGTTTTGAAAGATTTTTATCAAAAACAAAAGAATTGAAAAATAACAGTAACACAAGTGTACAAATCGTTTCATTTTGCTAGATATGAGTTAGGAAGCAACTGAAAATCAAAAACAGGTAACTTAAGTGTCTAGAAGAAATTTACCAGCAATGACTTTATCATGGTACCTGAAGTATGCCCTTGCTGGCTGATGAGATTAGTAGAAGGAGTGATTAGTTCTTAGTTTTCATGGAAAAAAATATCCAAGAGACTCCAAGTCTCATGTTTTCCTTTTAAAGATGGAATCTATATCTATATCTATATGGTGTTATAATAAATATAGAAGTTATTCTAGGCCTCATAATAAGTTCCTGTAGTTTTTAGTAGTGCATGTGATATACAGAAACACACTAGTGCTTGTCCTTTATATGTGTATCTTTATAAACATGCTCCTGTTCCTGAGGATTAACCTGTAGACATGACATGTTCAAACATAATTTTAACATGTTATTCTTAGAGTATACACTGATGTACCTTACTTCCATACCCCCTAGACGGAAATCACAAAACTCCTTCTTAGAGTCATTGTACAAAGCTCTCATTCATCCTAAATCTCTGTCCTCTATAATTCCCTCAGTCCAATGATATTGACAGAAATGGACCTTTGTCAAGAAAATAACCCAGCCAAGTTATTCTCTAATGTTATCGTCACTTTTTCATTTCTAAATGACTATGATGCTAAAAAGTCTCTGCCAGGTTTTATGTAATTTTCAGCTCAGGGAAAGTATAATTGGTGGTTAGATTTTTAAAATGTGGTTTCCTTGGAAAACTGCTCCTTTTTTTTTTTTTTTTTCTTCCATAGAGTTAAGAACACTGAAGCTTTCTAAGCTTTTCTCCTAGGGAAAGAATAAACATAGTGCAGCTGCAAATTCAGAATTATAAAAGCCTGCAGGAATGACAAAGACAAGTTATCTTTTCATATTAAACAATAAAACATTTATTTGACAAAAGACAATAAAAGTTTTTTTTTGCATAAAGTTTTTAATTTAATGAAAATTTGCTTCTTCCCCTAATTTAAAGTACAAGAAAACTAAAGTTATCTCCACTATGTTTGAGCACAAGACAACTGACAGTAGAACACAGCTTTATTCCATAACACACCACTGAAAAATTTATAGTGTAAATAGGGAAAACCAACAGTTATCCCAAAGTACTATCTTTGGAACAGATCCTTCAATTATCATTCTATAATGATCCAACTGGGACTCAGCTTCCATAGACAAATTAGAAGATGATGAACAAGAAAAACCTTCTGTTTTCTGAGTTTACTCACATTGTCTTTTCAGTTGAAATAGAGAAAAGCATGAGTCCCAATACCTGTGAGATGTAAAACACGAAACAGTAAGAGTTCGTTCACCAACCAGCCTTTCCTGAAACAGCCTCCTGTGCTTCTATCTGCAAATAAGTAAATAAATAAATGGTCCTAGGCAAACTATATCGGAAATAGTATGGGAGCTTCCTAGAGACTTTCAGGGGCTCTCATAGTAAGGTTACAATAAATGCTATTGTTTTTCTTTAGCCTCTAAATCCCCTTTAATCTGCATATGTGTTAAAAACCTGAATTCTTTTTCATCTTAGTCTCTTATGAATAGCAGTTTGTTAGACAGACTCTCTTTTCTTCCTGGCTACTTGAAAACTCAAAAAGAACAATAACCTGTGACTACTTCTTTAGGGATAGTAAGTTGTATTGAGACATGTCAGTTAAGGTCCTAGTAGTGTAAAAACACAATACACAAAACACAAATAACAAAATAATAATAAATTTGGCCTAGTAGTAGACATGAAACACATCCTATATTGCTTCAGGCCAGGAGGATAAAATGAGGCTAGAGTCTACTTAGGAGCTTTGTATTCTTCATTGTTAATACTCCCAAAACAGGAAGCTAAATTATAGTTTTCTGGAAGAATACCCATCTATTCCTACTGAAAATATGCCTTTACTCAAGGCAGTAGGAAAAATACAGAGACAAGATCATTCTCAGCTCCACTCCTATGAGTCTAAACATTTTAAAGAGAAAAAAAGTAAAATAGCATAAATGTATTATTAGAAAGGTCAAAACAGCGGAATTTTCAAATTGACTTTCTTTTTTGCTAACATGTTATACATTGGATGTTTTCTTTTAAAATTATCTTCCTCTGCTGTTTTCCAGGAAATTTTGTCACTTTTCTGCTTTTTAGACTTTATTGTGATTATTTATTTCATCTGATGCAGAAGATTAAAACCAAATAAATAAAACACATTATCAGAAAAATGTATATGAATTCACTATACTTTGCTTGCTACATTTGTTCCCCTACAAAGATTAACTACTGCTTAAGACAGTCAATAAGCTGTAAAAAGAGAAATTCAGGAATTGAAAATTTCACCAAAAACTGCCTCATTACAACGGCCAGTACTGTGACGCTTCTTCCATAAAGGCTTTCCTTGCCATCATTCACGCTGAAAGGGAAGCTTACAGAAGGAAGATAAATGAGGACTCACACTGTATCTGTGATGGATGAAGTCTTACCATTTTATCAAATTTCTGGAATACTGTTAGCCTGACTGAAGAATCTAAATGCAGGACAAAGTAGAACAAACAAATGTCTTTGTGGCAGCTGTGTTCATCATAATGGTTGGGGTCTCTTAATAGATTTGAGTCTCAGCAGTTTAGCCATCAAAATTTCTCACACAAAAGACCCAGAAGGAAAAACTTGTTTCTAGAAAAGATCAAAAGACAAAATAATGGCTGTATGCCAAAAAAAAAAAAAAAAAATGTCTACCATACACAGCAAAGAATTGAATACTTGGATTTCTCCAGGGCACAGCAAATTACAGATTGGGGTTTTGTTGCTTCTGCAGCTCCAGCTCTGCAGCCCTTTGCACAGCTACATCAACCAATAGCTGCAAGCTGCTGAAGTCCTCACACTCCATGGCTGGCCTGGGCTCTGGAACAGACGGGGACTGATTGCTGGGACTGTTAAGCTGTTTCTTCTGCTGGGCCCTCAGGGTGAGCCTCTGGCTTGCAATCAATGCCTCTGGATCAAACAGCTTTCTTTCTGTTTCCTGACCCTCTGGCAGGGGGATTAGAGAGAGCTCTTTTATCTGGGGTGGAGCGTTGGGCACCAGGGAGGCTTGGGCAAATGGATCAGCTGTCAGCTGTAACATCACATTGGTGGCCCTGCCAATTTGGCCGTTGGGGTCGTGTCCATCCTGTTGAAGCATTTTTGGCAGAATGCGTCTGCGAGCATTCATAAACCAATTTGAGACCTGATGCAAAGACAGATTGGTTTGTTGAGACAGCATTCTTTTCTCAGCTTCTGATGGGTAGGCAGCAAACCTGTGGTCATAGAGCCACTGACGGAGGATTCTCACAGACTCGCCTGGCAGGAATCCATAATGCTTCCGCTTGGTACTGTTGGACATGGTACTGTCTTGCCTTGAGGGTCCTGTGGGCCCTGGAATTTCCTCAGCGGCTTCCATTGCCCTCAGGTGTGTACTTACTACCTCGGATTTCAGGGATAACTTCAACGGCTGACTGGTTTCCGAGAGCTAGTAAAGGCAGGGAAAGGTGACCAGTTGGCTGTCAAGTTACATTTGTGGCTCTCAGGCAAGCCGCCGCCGCTGCCACCACAGCGCCACACTGCGCCACAGCCGGGTAGTTTCGGCTCTGTGACGTCACATCCTGTCTATGCATTTCCTGCTTTCTGGTTCCCTGCCGGGTTTTTCTTCCGGTAGCGCACCGGCGGCAGCCAAGGCCGGACCACAAAGTTTCGGTTTTCTTTCATAACTACCTGACAGACTTTTGCTTATAATTTAATTCCTTTCTTCCTGTTTGATTTCATTACGGTTTTTACTCCTCCTCCTTTGCGTTTCTTCAGTGACTTAAGGTATGTATCAGAAACAATTTACCTATTTCTATTAAGCTCAATAAAACCCTGTAAGTGCACACCCAGACTTAGTCTTTTCACGTATAAACCAAATGTAAGAATAATTTTTAGCTATATCTTCACTTTTAACATTCTGCTGTCGACTTTATCACTGCTTTGAAACCCTTAGCTTTAGTATAATTTCACTGTGGCTTTTGTGTTTCTGCTAGCCAGTTGTGAAGAGTCTCTGAGGAACTTTAGTTAGATGAAAATTCAGGAGTCTTTTAGAAATGTATAACAGGATAGGATTTAAGAAATAACGTTCATCATAGACTTATTTTACTTAAATATTTCCTCATAATTTCAAGTACCAATAAGTCATCCCCTAACCCAGGTGAAAATAATTTGTAAATTACAAATTTTCATTATCTATGATAGTTGAGAACATTATGACGTACGTAGAGGACAATTGTCGACATCAACTGAGTCCTCAAGAACACTGTGTGATATTAATTTTCATAATCTTCCATACCAAAGGCCTGGCCGTCACCTTGAGCAAATTTGCTACAGATCATTTTGATGAGGAACATTTCTTTTGCTTTTAAGACTTTCTATTCGGTGTCATTGAGATGGGTGTCAGAATAGTGTTTGCTGAACCTTTGGTTGTGAATCTCCTCACTGATTCACACTTTTATCTCTTAAAAAAATGTATTGCAAGAAAGGGCTTGAGGCACACAGCTGAAACGAATGGATGCGTTAGCAAACCTTTCAACAATGAAGTGCCCATTTGGGCTGTAATCGAGGGACCCCTTTGGAATACTCTGAAACCTTGTTTATATTTCTTTCTTCCCCCACCCCCTACCTCAACCCTTGTGTTGGGGAGAGGTCATTTGAAACATAAAGGCTGGGAACTGTGCAGGCGCTGCGGGTGGCGGGCGGCCTGGCTATGGGGCTGAGTTCTCCCTGTACCTGCCGGACCACCTGGCCTGTGCCACCCCCAAGCACTACAGCATCGCTGGATGTGGAAACTTATTGTGTTGGAGCAGAACGAATCTGATCTTAGGGTTTTTGGAAGTTTTGAATGGAATGATGGTTTGTTTGACGTGACTTTGAGAGAACAACCAACACGTCCTTGTCACATGCAGTGGCGACGGCTCCCTGCAGCTCTGGAATGATGCAACAGGGCCCCTGCAGTTCTACCAAGAGCACACACAGGAGGTGTATAGTGTTGATTGGAGCCAAACCAGAGGTGAACAGCTCGTGGTGTCTGGCTCATGGCATCAGACTGTCAAAGTGTGGGACCTAGCTATTGGAAGGTCTCTGTGCACCTTCATAGGCCATGAGAGGGTGGGTCATTTATAGCACTATCTGGTCTCCTCACATCCCTTGGCTATTTTGCTTCAGCCTCAGGTAAATGTACAGAGAGAAGAAGAGATAGAGAAGGTCTTCCATCCATTCGTACACTCCCCAGATAGCTGCAATGGTCAGAGCTGAGCTGATCTGAAGCCAGGAACCTCTTTCAGGTCTCCCAGGCGACCAGACTCTAAGAATTTGGAACATGAAGACAGCAGGAGTGAGGATTGTGGTTCCAACGCACCAGGTGGAAGTTCTGAGCTGTGACTGGTGTAAATACAATGAGAATTTGCTGGTCACAGGTGCAATAGATTGTAGTTTGAGAGGCTGGGACTTAAGTAATATATGACAACCAGCATTTGAGTTTCTTGGTCACCCCTATGCTATTAGGAGGGTGAAATTTTCTCCATTTCATCCTCCAGTGCTGGCCTCTTGCTCTTACAATTTTACTGTAAGTTTCTGGAACTTTAAAGACCTGATCCTCTTCTTGAAACAGTGGAGCACCATACAGAATTCACGTGCGGTTTAGATTTCAGTCTTCAGAGCCCCACTCAGGTGGCTGACTGTTCTTGGGATGAAACAGTAAAGATCTGTGATCCTGCTTGTCTTGCTGCTGCTGCTTGTGATCTGCTGTGGTCAGAATCAGAGGTTGCCTGAAGACTGCGTAAAAGCAAATCAATGAAATTGTGACAACGCGGCGGTCATGCTTTGGCAAATGCCATTCATTTCAACTTTTTCAAATTTACCCTGTAGTCTGTTCTGAGACAACTGACAAAGACTTTGGCTCATCTAGGCCTGGTATATAAGCCATATTCCTGAAAATTCTATAAGCCATATTTCTGAAAATTCTATGGAATAATTGATGTTATAATGCCTATTAAAATGTAACTTCTGTTGTGAAATGGACTAAAGTATGAGAGATCAGTAGATTATATTGATAGTTACATATTTAATTCTTATGTCACTTTTGATGAAAAATATAAACACTGCTGTTGAAATCAGAATAAGCTAGGTCTCTTGATAATTTATCACTCATGATATCCTCAGTTAGATTGTTCCAGCATGTGTGTATTTGACTGCAGGATTACCTGTCCGGAGGTAGTTGTCAGGGCTGTAATCAACATTTCATGTGTATTTCTATTGAGCATTTATTTGTTGGGCATTTACTGTGTGCCTGGCAGACTCAGTGAGATTCTCTCCAGGACTGGTGCCATGCTTTCAGAACATGAACTGCTGTGAGTTAAGAGTTCCTTTATTACACATTTTTGCATGCTGTGTTAGGTATTTATTACTCTCTTGACACACTGTTTCCATTTTTCTGCTATCAGAAAATTTTAATACTGTTTATTGAATAAAGTCTTAGGTCTTGCTAAAGCTTCCAGCTGTTGCCCTTGAAGCTAGTCTTAAGTAATGCCTTAAGCTTCCTGGCTACCTCCCTGAGTCTCCTACAAAAGTCTCTAGATATACATTAATTAGAAAAATGTATGTCTTAAAGACTTACTTATTTGAAAGGCAGAGTAATGGGAGGAAGAGAGTAAGGAGTAGAGAAGAGAGAAAAAAGAGCAAGACAGAGAAAATTTCTTTTGTCTGCCCAAATAGTCACTCCCTAAAGAGCTGCAACAGTGCAACAGCTGGCACAGTGCAACAGCTGGGGCTGAGCCAGACTGAATCCAGGAGCCAGGAACTAGTTCTGGGTCTCATAAGTAGGTGGCAGGATCTCAAGTACTTGAACTGCTTGCCAGCTGCTTTAGCAAGGGCCTAGATCAGGAGCAGTGTAGCTGGGACTCAAACCAGCTGTATGGGGTGTGGTCATGCCAAGCAGCGCTTAACTCATTGTACCATAGTGCTTGCCCTGATATCTATATCTTTATATAATATTAAGGCATGTTATAAATGATGAAAGTGAGAATTCAATTTTAAGTTTTTGAAAATGTTGAAGAACAAAATATGCTTGTAATAGTGAAAATAAATGTCACATATATGTTTCTTCACTTCAGAAAAAAGTTTAAATTGTCTTTACAAAATTGAGACAAAATAAATTTAAAAAGAATAAAGTGGAGTAAGAAAAAAGGAAACATAAAGGCCAAGGTTTTTATGCATACTCACGTCCATACCTCCTTCCCAACAACACATGTATGCCCACTATTTCTGCAACTGGTCTAGTCTGTTGCTATGACTCCCCGTTCCTTTCATCTTGTTGTAATGTAATCTTTTATGGGAACTCATTGAAAACAATATTTGGGAACATTTATATTGATTTTTTTTTCTCAGAATCTGAAACTGCATTCTCACGATTCTCTCATGAGTGCCTGTAGCATTACGCTCTATTATTTGCCTTGTTTCCTCCAATTATAGGTCTTCTGTAATATGTTGCTTGTTTCTAGCAATCTATTTGTATTTTAATTCAGGTTTGAGTAGTCCAAAACCTAAATTATGTTGCCTAGTTGAAGTATTTCATAAAATAAAGGGATAATGTTTTGACTTCTGGGAAGTCAGATAGTATAAAACTAAGCAATAAGCAAAAACAAATTTCCAAACAAAACTTAGTGATGTGAAAGAATCTAGAATCAATGTGGTGGTAGCTTAATTTTATCAATTCTACAAATGAAGAATGTTATAAGAGATACAGAAGTTTTGTTCTGTAAAGTATTTGAATAATTTCAGCCAAATATACATTTTTAAGAGTGAATGACTTAATCACTTCTTGGTCTTTTGGCCCAGATCAAGTGAAGACTGATTAATTTGGAAGACAATTTTAGGAAGAGAAAGTTACCCTCCAACTGCTGGTTCACTACCCAAATGGCCGTAACAGCCAGGGCTGTTTCAGGCAGAAATCAACTTTTTCTAGTTCTCCCATATGTGTATAGGGGCCCAAGCTCTTAGACCATCTTTTGCTTCTTTTCCCTGGCCATTGCACAGAGCTGAATCAAAAGTAAAGCAGATGATACTTGCACTACCATCCACATGGAAAGCTGGTGTCTCAAGTGGTAAGGTAACCACTATAGCACAATGCTGGCCCAAGTCACATATTTTTCACTTCTTCAAATTGAAAATATGGTCAGTAAGCCAGCACTGGTGTGGCTTCTTGGAGGGATTTCTGCCATGTTAAGAGGAGAAAGTGAGGGAATTTCAAAATAAATGCAGATTAACATATCAGGTATGGACTATCAGTATGAAACTGAAGCCAGTGTAATCCTAGTGCGTTAGTTTCAGAGCAAGAAATTTTATATAATTACATGAAGTATGAAATATGTTTGTATA